TCATATATATATATATAGTGTATGTGTACAATAAAAATATATCAACACGAATCTTAAAGATATCCAGCCAGCGACAAATATGGCGAGGTATTGCAGAGCCCACCAAAGACTATTCAGAACCGCGCGTCTAGCTAGCCTACTCTCACATATCGAGAGGATAATGCTTCCACAACAAATAAGAGGAGATCGGCTCCTAAAGAGTCTACCTGGGCAGACAAATCCGGCGACTTCCATCCAGGACAGACAAAATGGGCAAATCAAACAGTCGGTTCCAGAGTGGTTAGCACCAATCGCAGCATGCCGCCACCTGGCTTAACGACAGCCCGGTCTGCAGCTACCCGACATAGAAGCCACCCAGCCAAATGACAACCCTGCCCATTAGGCTCTCAGCATGATGGTTGACTGGCCTTGTAGTCGCCCGGCTTAACTGCCGCCCGGCCAATGTCTGCCTCGCTTTATAGTTGTCTGGTCTAGTGGTCGCCCAACTCCCCTCGGTCGAATATCTATGGGCCCAACGAGCCATATTTTTGTAAAGACTAAAATACCACCACCATACCTACATACTATAGGGGTACAACGTGTAATTGTATGATCAATCATTTATATAAATAGATACCCATTTCATAAATAAAGGTTACGCAAATTTATTGTTCATTGTTGTCTATTGTTCTAACTTCTCCTCTCTCTTACTCTCTCTCATCCTTCAGTGTTCTATTCCTTAGGCGTGTCTCCCGGATAGTTTTGGATTCAACTATATATATTCTAAAATATTTAAAAATCCATCAATGGCATTGATGATTGATAATCAGACAATCAAATTGTTTTGGTGAAAGGATGGCACATATTGGAAGTAGCTAGCAAATTTTATGTTAATAATACTACTTAGTATTGATTCATGAATAATGCAAGTTCATTGGTCTATTAACTTTTATTTGAAATAAATTCCTAATATTAATTGGTAGTAATTGTACTTTGAAAGCTTTGAAAGGAAGATGCTCACACTAATTACCACCTAAATGTCATCACTAATTAATGACAACGAAGGTTATGCCATATTACAATCACAATATTATTTTTATTCATCTTCTAAAAAAAATTTATTTTTTTTCTTAATTATACTTCTGATTGCATTTTTAAGGTCATTAAGACAAGGACCTAGATGATTTAATTTGTCAGAATCATCTCCATAAACTTATTATTTTCAATATAAATTTGCCCATGGCCACACGTGTGGCTTCAGTTCTTAATTTTTTTTTAACGCATGTAGTTTCAGTTTATTGCTTACACATGTGATGGATAAATGAGGCTCCACGTTGTTGATGTGTATTAGTGACGGTAAAAGTAGGAGGGGAAGCCAAAGAGGCATGCTAAATGAAACCTTTTATAACACTTAACGGGTAAAAGGCTGCTCCCAACTCTCGTTTTAGTCCCTTTTGACAATTCTATAACCGAGGCTTAGTTGGCCACCTTCGCATGATCACTGGACCTTTTGATTTTTGATTGCCCAAAGAAACACTTATTACTAGATAAATCTTGATTACAGCTTCCGAGTAATAAAATTTGTGGCACTCTAAAAATTGCACACATTAGTTGAATTGATTTAAGCTAGCTTGACCGCTACGACACATGAATACTCAAATTTGTATAAATGGGTTCCAAATGGAATTCATTGGATAACAGTAAAGGTGGCAATTTGAGTTAGCGGGTTAGGTTTATGTTTGACCCAATTATAACCTAATTAGAACATGCATCACTCAAAGCTGACTTGTTTATTAAACGGGTCAATAAAGTTGAATCAAACACAACTCAATTTCAACCCAACTATCACAAAATTGATTCAAGCAATCTTTTTCACATTAGGCATATCATTCAACAGGGTAAAGTTAGGGCTTACAGGCCAAGTCTGAACATGTGCATCAAATTCGAATTTGAGGGCAAACAGAAATCAAACCCAAAAATTGAAAAGTTGAAATCTGGCCCAAAAGAAAATCAAGTCAACTCAAAGTCGAATTTTCAAGTCGATTTAAAATCAGGTCAACCCAATTTGTTGTAAAGCATGTGTAGTACTGTTATTTCACAGCTGTTGCATTAACATTTGTCTCTGGATCCAAATCAACAAAATAAGTTGCATGCCTTAACCTTCTATCGTATACTTTTTAAAAGTTATTGAATTCAAATTATATATATATATATATA